GGTCAGGGTCCTCGGAGGGGATCCCAACGACCGACGCTGCGTTCTCAGCCAAATGGAGGTGCAGTTCGGTCTGTATAGGGGGAAGACCTTCTGGTGGCTGCTGACCCATGACCCTGGCTACACAGTGGGGGTCCTGGCAAGCCACGAGGCAGAGCGAGAGGGAGGAGACAGCAGCAGCAGCCCTCTGYTGCTGCACAAGGACGCTCTGCTGGAGTACGCCCGGCTCTTTAAGGAGGTGACCTCTGCCCTCGCAGACAAGAGGAGCAGAGGCACCGAGTCGGAGGGTGAGCGGCTGGTGGGCTTCGGAGAGTACAGCTCCCTCACGTACAAGGAGCTGTACYAAAGCTCCGACCCGCAAACCAGCAGGTAGGACCGGTTCTCTGATGGCTCATCAGAAGTTCTGCAGAACCTCAACGCTCTGCGTCTCCTTCTCAGCTACAGGAGGTGGGTCAGAGARGCGCCGGTCAAGAACCCTGGCACCCGACTCAGCCAGCTGAAGCAGTATGTGCTGAGGAGGGACAGCGCCCAGCATGCCAGCTCCAGCCCAGCCGCTGCCTCCAACAGGCATCCGTTCCCTCAGCTCTCCACTCCGAGGAAGAAGAGAGCCATGGTTCTCTACAGTAAGCTCTCTGCTGACGGTGTTAAAGTTCAGCTGAAGGGCTCAGAGCTGCAACTGCTGCCTTTTGTCTTTAGGTTCCTCGGAGGAAGACGATGAGCTGATGGTGGAGGCTGCTGCTGCCGCCGAGCAGGAGCTGTCTGCATCAGGTGGGATTCATGCAGCAGTTTGTGTTTATGTGTAAACAGTGTTACAGCTTGGTGATGACTGTGTTATTTACAGCAGCTTCATCAGCAGCTGCTCCCCCTCCACCTCCTCCTCCTTGTCCTTCTTCTTCTGTACCTCCTCCTTCTCCTCCACCACCTCCTCCAGCTGCAACAAGCACCACAGCTGCTGCTCAGGTTGGTTTTAGAAGAGATGTTTTTTGCTGTGTTTCTTTTATCTTGCAGCAGTAATTCACTGCCCTCCAACATGCTTTGTTGCAGGTGGTCCTGCTGGAGTCTTGGAAGAGAAGCCTTCCTCCAGAGCAGCAGGACTGGCTGAGCAAAGCCCTGTTTGTCAGGGACAAGACAGGCAGGGCCGTGCTCACCAAAGAGCTGCAGCTGTGGTACCATCCACCTGGCCCACTCCTCACATACAGCCAGCCACCCGCCTCGCCCGACGCCTTCTTCCAGCGGCCCTTCTTCCTCTGGGCCCCATATAGGATGTGGCAGTACAGCTTCAAGTGTCCGAGCTGCGCGCACAAACTAACCAGCTGCGGTCTGTACAAGACRGTGCGCAAAGTTCTGGACCTTGATGGCTGGTACTATATGGCACAGAGTACCTGGAGTGCAGGTAACTCACTCGTTATAAAGGAGCTGCAGGCGGTAGCGGAGTGGGAGGTAAGACTGATGACATGTCCATTTTGACAGGTACTGCATGAAGAAGGTGGCGGCCTGGGCGAGGAGCGTGCGGGAGCAGCTGGACCTGGGTCACCAGCTGCTCTTTCCTGCTGAGCTTGCGTACAGGTATGGCTCACTATCATCCTGGTGGGGCAACGTGGGCTGGTGAATAACAGCTTCCTMTGTCTGTGACGCAGGCTGTCATGCGACAGGAAGGTCCTCGGCCAGATGAAGGGACGAACGCTGGGGAACAGCGCCAACCGTCTTCGCTCCTTCCTGGTGGAGAGCCACACAGAGGAGTGGATGTCCAGGTGCCTGCTGTACTTGGAAACCATCAACAAGTTTCAAGTCGCAGGGGTGCGCTTGGCTCCACCTCCTCACCCGCCCACCATGCAGCCTGTACCAACCAGCGGCTGGCTGTTGTCCACCTACGCCAGGGAGACCTTCACCCGGTTGGATGAGCTCCAGGCCGGCGTCACCTCCATCTTCGGGTCCATACTAAAGATGGACTCGACCAAGAAGGTAGGTTTAACCTCACGTGCCGTCATCAACAGATGAAGCTGCCATCTTACCCTCCTCCACCCCGTCCTCTGCAGGTCGTCAGGAAGCTGGCGGGCGCAGACGCACGGACGGCCCAGTGGATGACAAGTGTGGGCAACGAGCTGGGTCAGGTCCTGATCTGCGTCC